ATCTACACAACTGTACACATCTACAAAGTCCGTTTTGCTATCTAAGGTAGCGTTCACGGGTTCCAGGGATTAGGATGTGGACATTTTGGAGGACCAGTATTCAGCCTGCCACAGAACCATATATATTTCTTTGCACTGCCTTGGTGAAGGGAGAGAGCACCAGCAGGGTCACAAGGTTTCAAAGTGTTCTTAAATTAAGATCTACAGAGAAGTAGGCAAATTCACATCTATAATCACTGTTATCACTCTGCGACCATCATAAACCTCATTTCCATTAGCAACGATCACTCTCTCCCTCCCAGCACTGCTTCCTTTAAAATGCTCTGTAGGCTGAAGTTGAACTACTTATTACTCCCTCATCTTAAAAAACAAATTATCTGAAATAGTAAGATGCATGTTTTCTACAGAGATGAGATGTTTTTCTCATAAGTCTTTGATCTAACAGGCATGGTTGTGGTCTGTAGCATGCTTAGAATGTAACAGCACTTTAACAATCCATATTCTGCAAATTACCATCATATCCTTTAGCACATTTGGGCATAGGAAAAGGAAGGTCTTGTTATTTCAGTTGTACAGATGAGTAAACTGAGGCTCAGAAAGGTTAAATGAATTGAATAGGGTGGTCATACAATGAGTTACTGGCAGATCCTGGTTCCAAACCTGATGTTCTATTCACTGCTCTGTTCCCAGGCCAAACTCAATCCCAGAAGGCTGAGGATGACCTAACTGATCTTGGGATCTTAATACATCCTAGAGTTGGCCTTGAAATCCCTACCTCCTGAACATGAAACCCACTTTTTTTTTTTTTTTTTTGCGGTACGTGGGCCTCTCACTGCTGTGGCCTCTCCTGTTGCGGAGCACAGGCTCCGGACGCGCAGGCTCAGCGGCCATGGCTCACGGGCACAGCCGCTCCGCGGCATGTGGGATCTTCCCGGACCGGGGCACGAATCCATGTCCCCTGCACTGGCAGGCAGACTCTCAACCACTGCGCCACCAGGGAAGCCCGAAACCCACTTTTTTGAGGTCCTACCCAGAAGTCAAAGCTAGGGGCAGATTGGGAATTCAGGGGAAGGTCAGGGTTGCTGGCAAGTCAAGGGTACAGTAAGAGGGTAGTTAGGACTTATGGAGACGTAAGAGTGTCTATGTTTGCTGTATGTGCCTATTTAACTGGTAGGCAGCAGCAGGGGTGCTGCTAGGTACTCAACCTAGAATTAGGCCTGATTTCTGCAAGGGGAATTCTAAGAACATCAGGGATAGCTAAGAGTGGCCTGGCTGGGTCTCTTATTCCCAGGTCTGAACACATAACTTGAGGAAGCACAGTAACACCAAAGCCCATGCTCTTTTACACTGGCTCTCTGGAGTCTCTCCTCAGTCTTGATTTCCATGACATTTCAAGGCATAGTAGCCAAGGCCCAGTCTCTGCAGCCACACTGCCTAGGTAAGCCCAGCTCTGCCACTTACAAGGTATGTGACCTTGGGAGAGTCACTTAACCTGTGTGTGCTTCAGTTCCAACATCTGCAAAATGAGGATGATAATAGTATCTACCCCAATAGGGTTAAGGATGTTGGGGCTTCCCTGGTGGGGGGGCTGCATTGGGTCTTCGTTGTTGCGCACGAGCTTTCTCTAGTTGTGGCGAGCGGGGGCTACTCTTTGTTGCAGTGCGCGGGCTTCTCAATGCAGTGGCTTCTCTTGTGGAGCATGGGCTCTAGGCACATGGGCTTCAGTAGTTGTGGCGCGGGGGCTCAGCAGTTGTGGCTCGCGGGCTCTAGAGCGCAGGCTCAGTAGTTGTGCCACAAGGGCTCAGTTGCACTGCAGCATGTAGGATCTTCCTGGACCAGGGCTTGAACCCTTGTCCCCTGCATTGACAGGCAGATTCTTAACCACTGTGCCCAGTATCCTGGGCAGTCTTTTGCCCAATCATATATCTCCCTTTTCTTCTCAGTACTTGAATTCGGGTGCATTTCTTTTTTGTTCACTCACATACTCATTCAACAAGTAATTCTCAGCTGCCTGTCATGTGTCAGACATTGAGCTAGGCCTAGGTATACAAAACTAAGTTGGGCTTGAGGAGCTCAGTCTCCTGGTGGTGAGGAAGAGGCACAGAAACAATTATAATATGATGAGGTAAACACTGTGATAGAGGCCTCTACACAAAATCCTCACTAGAATATAGTAACAAATGCAAACTGCTATAGGAGTTGGGGAAGATTTTTGAGAAAATGTAATATCTGAGCCATTTTTAGGACAAACAGTTGAACCACATTGCAAAGTGGGAGAGGTGGGGGAGAGAGAAGGGAAGCAGGAGTTTGTGCTAAGAAGTTCAGTGTGGCTGATGTGTAGAGGAAAGGCATGAAGACTAGCACTGTACTATACAACTTTCTGCAACAATGGACATTTTCTATATCTGTGCTGTCCAATAAGGTAGTCACTAGTCACATAGGGCTACTGAACACCTGAAATGTGGCTAGTAGGACTGAGGAGCTGAATTTAAAATTTTATTTCATTTTCCTTAATTTAAATTTAAATAGCAAGCGGCTACCTTATTGAACGATATTGGTTTAGGCACTGGATAAAGGACAGGACTCTAGGCACTAGGAAACCACTGAAGGTTTTTAAGCATACTACTAGCATAGCTAAATATTTGAGAAAGGGAACACTAGCAGCAAGACAATGGATTGGAGGGTAGAGGACTTAACATAGAAACCTTTGATAGGCATCAGCCACATGGATGAAATAAGTGGAACTTACATGTTATTGGTAGAATTCACCGGACTTTGTGACTATTTCAATGTGGGAAGTAAAAATGAGGAGAATTAACTGAAGTTTGTAGCTTGAGCAATGGGTGGATGCCAACAATTGAGACAGGATTAGGTTTGGAATGAGGGTAATGAGTTTGCTTTTGGGGTACGTTGAATTTGAGGTGCCAAAGAGCTATCTAGGGGAATATGACTACAAAACAGGAAAAATATTAATCTGGAATTGTGAAGGTGGGGCTTATAACTATTGGGGGTTATTAGCATATAGGTAGTTGTTAAAGGTATGGGAGTGGAGGAACTCACCCCAGGAAAAAAATGTAGAAGAGGACTGGACGGACCCTAAGGAACCCTAAGCATCAAAGTGTGGTCTGTTTCGACTTGCATCATAATCATATGGCATGCCTGTTAAAAAGATTCCCCGTTGTGAATGTATTTAATGCCACAGAATATACGTTTAAAAACAGTTAAGGGCTTCCCTGGGGGCGCAGTGGTTGAGAGGCCGCCTGCTGATGCAGGGGACACGGGTTTGTGCCCCAGTCCGGGAAGATCCCACATGCTGCAGAGCGGCTGGGCCCGTGAGCCATGGCCGCTGAGCCTGCGCGTCCGGAGCCTGTGCTCCGCAACGAGAGAGGCCACAACAGTGAGAGGCCCGCGTACCACAAACAAACAAACAAAAAAAACAGTTAAAATTGTACATTTTATGTTACATATATTTTTCCTCAATAAAAATTGCAAAAAACCCCAAATCAAACCAAACCAGAATCCTGAGCCCCATTTCTGACCTGAATCACAGTTTCTAGAGATGAATCCAGGACTCCCCAGGTAATGCTTATGCAAATTAAAATGTGAACCAATTGCTTAAGGTGTAGAGAGAAACTAAAAGATTGGAAGAGAATAATGGCAGAGAATGGCAGAGAATTAAAGGGAGCATGATTCAATAAGGAAGGAGTCAATAGTGTTGAATGGTTTCATGGCTCAGGAGGAAGACTGAAAAGAGGCCTCAAAATATGGCATTCAGGTGGCCACCGATGAATGGGAGATGAGGAAGCAGAGGTGGTGGCATGTATTCTTTCAAGGGCTTTGCTCATGTATGGTGGTGAAGAGATGGAGATTGCATAAGGCTGAGAGGGAGATAGGACACAGGAAAAGTTGGTGGTTTTGAAGGTGAGAGAGAACTGAGCATGTTGGTAGGTGGACAGGAATATTCAATGAGGCCAAGGAGACACCAAGGGGATCCTTAATAAAATACAGCTTGGGAGAGGTAGTAGAGGTTGGGATCTGGAACTTAGGCAGAGGTTATTTGGGTAAAAGCTCACTGGGTAAGTTTAGAAGTGAAAACAAGGGAAGATGAAGGGGTTCAAGACTGAGGGCAAGAAAAGACTTCCTGACACAGTAAACAAAAATGGCACTAGTTGGTGGTTAGGTCACCTGCTTAGATGAATGGAGAATGGAGCAGGAATAGAGTCAAGAGCCTGCCTGCAGAAGGGTAAAAGTCTGGAAGAGTCACTAGGATAAAAGTGATCAGGAGCAGCAATATAAAAAGACTGAGAAGTAGTATTAGAGCCTAATTGAGACTGGAAATGGCACCAACCATACAATTATCCTGCACAAAATAGAAAAATTGGTTTTCCTAAATGAAGGTTTTGGTTCCATCCTCCTATTATTTAGGAACTGCTCTGGCTTCTGCTCTCTCTGCATAAAGTTCAAATTCCTTAGTAGGAACTTTTACTAACTTCTTCAAAAAGTCCAACCTCTCATTGGTGGTTCAGACTCTCTTGTTCCCTGTTCCTCCTTCTATAACATCAACTCAGAAAATAATAGGATCTTAGAGATTGTGAAGCTCATCAATCCAATCTCCCTTCTTAGCTAGGTATGTTTTGTTTTTCCATCTTCTCTCCACCAAATCTTCTCTATCTTTCACTTTCCCTTGAAGTGGACTCATGGGTGTTTTAAAAATCAACACCTGCCAGACATCAGTGACACCTATCCCACAGCACTGACGCTGTAGCCATCCAATTGTAGGCTGCATTTTGTGTAGGCTTCTCTGCACGTATTCCTACCCCCATACTGGTGTGCTTTGACAGAGGACACTGACAAAAAAAGTCCTGAATTAACTTACTCGCTGGCATGTTTTCTGTTTTGAGCTTGGGTGAGGTTCCTTTTCTTGAGTTGAAACCTCCATGGGTAGAGTGGTTAAAGGCAGAAATTTCTTTCCTACTCCAGATTCACAGGGCATTCTCAACCATACTCAAGTCACTTTTATTATATATAAAATATAATTGTATATATTCTATACAATCCCACTTCATTCATTTCATTTGTACCGGTTGGATTTTGAGTTCATAATTTAATCTTTTAAACATCTTTTAAATGCTAGTCGATGCATCTTGGTTAGTACTGTATCTGTAGCTGCTGTGCTCAGCCTGGGCATGTTGGAAACTTGACCTGCTCTGGAAAGATGTTCTTCCTACCAAAGCTTCTCCTTTAGCCAGGCCAATGACTTTTCATTCCAGATTGTATTGTGAGGTTTTGTCTCATAGACAGGATGAGTAAGTCTAGAAGAAGCCTGAAGAAGGCAGATCAGATTTAAGGAGCCCAGGGAAGGGACATTCTAAGGCTAACCTGGTCTAAGTCTTCCTAAATAACCACCAAAAGCAGCCCCTTGCATATCCCAGAACCAGGGTCACTTTCTCTAGGTCATTCCAGATAGGACAGATCATTGCCTCACAGGTATATTCTCCTCAGGGATCATCCCCCCAAATGAGGAAGATACTGATTCTTTTAATTGCATGTCCTGGACATTTAAAAAGCTTCTGCCAAGTTTTAAAGCTGCCTAACTATCAGGAGTTAAGGAGAATGAACTTAATTCTTTGTATAAACCCCTTTCAATATCTCTATCCTCCCTCCCATCTCATTGTCTCCAGAATCTTATTCTGTTCCTTTCTTTCCCTTCTTCTATCAGTGATTCAGGGATCGGATGAGTCTCTGTGGCTTGTTTTGCCCTGAAGAGCAGAAGGCTTCGGTCCCAACTGGTGTTGCCGAAGCAGCATACTAATTCCATGCCATGGTCCTGGGTCAAGATCTGCACAATCTGATTAGCCATATCACCCCGGATAGCTAGGGAGCGGAAGTGGTCAAAATCATGGAGGCCCAGCTTCCGGAGACGCCTTGCAGCTGCCCGATAACACTTCCAGGGCTGTGGTTCCACAAGGAGGTAGCAGCACAGGGAAGAAAGGTGGGCCAGGAACTCCCAAAGGCCTTGGTCCCCATGGTTCAGATGAATCCACATGGTTATTGACATGCAGAAGCCAATATCAAAAACTGAGCATCCAAACTGGCTTAAGAAAGAGCTCAAGAGAACTTTCCGGGTCCTGTGATTCATGAAGTCCAGGGTGATAAAGGTCAAGCCATCAGGAAAAGGGCATTCTTTTTCAGCTCGTTCCACCAGGACTGGATCTATGTCGCAGCAGAGGAGATGGAGCTCTCTTGAGGCATCTGAGCAGGTCTCCCCATCATGTAGGGAAAGGAAATGTTTGTATAGAGCCACACTCAGATCCTAGAGGAATCCAAAAGAGCTTTGTCATTGCAGCTCTCAACCAGGGAATGGAAGAGAAACCTATATCTCTTATCCTGCCATTGAGACTGCCACTTATTCCTGGCTTTATAGGATATAAGGTTGTTAAACTATAGCCTAAGCAGGTTGCCCCCCAAAAGTTTTCCACAAAGCAGGCTCTCAGCGCCCTCCAGGAGTCTCAGGCTGTAATGCATTATCTCCATACTTTCCTGACACTGATGGGCTGTGTGGTTGAAAGTTACAGCCCAATGGATGCAGCAAAGGAGTCCAGAGCAGTATTTTCCAGCTTAAGTAATACGCTGGTAAGCTCACTATCTTTTTCTTTTTTTGAGTATCTCAGACCCCAGGGAGGAGGAAAAGATTTCAGGGGCATAACCAGTGCTCCTTGCCAGGAAGGTGAGGAACAGAGCAAGCACCACCTTATAAAAATCTACTTCTCAGACCTGTGGTTGGGAAAGTCTGCATTCCAAAGTCTTCATTCAGCCTTCACTCTACACCTTCAATTTTGCTACATGTGTTATGTTTCACCACCCCCTTCTGAGACTTATTCTGCTTTTGCATCCATTACCTGCTGACCTCCTTCTAGCCAAATCCAATGACTTGTGATTTTCACCATCTTAGCACCTTTTTGACTCCTAAACAAGTCACTATTTCCTTTCTCTAACTTTGACTTCTATAACCATTATAACTAACTCAAATTCATGTTCTAATCTGTTTTTTTAAGGCATTTTTCTATTCACTACCTCATTTGCTCTGTGCAACAATCCTGTGAGGAAAATATTTATGCCCTTTGTGCAGGTGAAGAAAGTGTGGCTGGAAACAATCCAGATGTCCAATAATAGTAGCATGGATTAAGATGGAATACCAGATAGCAATTAAAAAGGAAGGAATTCAGCTCAGTGCAGCAACATGGATGACTCACACAAATACATAATGCCGAGTAAAACAGCAAGACACAAAAGAAAATACATGGCAAGCTTCCATTTATATGAAGTTAGAAAATGGACAAAATTAAACTACACTGTTTACGGATACAAAAATAGCAAGCTATAAAGAAAAGAAAGGAAACAATAATAGTAAAAGTTGGGCTCTCTGGGTGGAGAGGGGCGTTTATGAGCAGGGAAAGGCATATGGGAGACTTCTTGGGGTGCTGACAATGTTTTATTCTTGATATAGACAGTAGTCATAAAGATGTCTGCTTTATAATAATTCATAAAGTGTGAATTTATGTTTTGTGCACTTTTCTCTATGTGTGGCATAGTTCACAAAAAACCTGTATTTTAAAAATTATGGTTCAGAGGCTAGTGACTTGTCCAATGTCACATGGTTACTACATGGCAGGATTTAGGCAACATTAAGTTCTTTCCTCCATACCAGGCTTCTCATACTTCAATAAGCATACACATCACCTAGGGATCTTATTAAAATAAAGATGTTGATTTAGTAGATCTGGGTTGGGGGCGGAGATCTGTATTTCTAATAAACTTCCAAGTCATGCTGATGCTGTAGCTCAAGGACCACATTTTGAGTAGGAAGATTATGCTCCTTAAAAATTTCTCCCCATCTTTCTATTTATTTCTCTGCTGTCTTCCTCCTCCTATCTGATCTTGGGTGTGCCCCATGTTTGACCAGTCATTTCATCACATCAGTCCCTCCTCTACCACATCTCTTAATCCTCTCCATCCTCAATTCCCCAATCCTAGAGACCCCTGGAAGCTTAAAAAAGAAAACACAGACTCAAGGGCTCAATCCCCAAGATCCTGATTCAGTAGGTCTAGAGTACAGCCTAGGAGTTTCTAAAATCTAAAATTCTAAAAACAAAGCACCCCCCAAATTATCACACATCTATATTATGAAGCTGCTAAAAAAGACTGTAGTGACATGACTGATCTCCAAATTATTAAATGAAAAGCAAGGTGCAAAAGAGTGTGCTATTATTTGTAAGGTGTATACTCAAGAAATTATAAACAGCAGTTGCCATTGTGTAGGAGAAGAGGATTTAGGGTCAGGAGTAGAGACTTGCTTTTTACTATATGCCCCTTTGGATTTTGAGTTTTTTTTTTTTTTTTTTTTGGTCTTATCAAGTGCAAGCATCTTTTCTTAAGTGCAAAATAAAAAACTCCCTAAAGGTACAGCCAGGTTTGGGAACCACTGCCCTAGTTAACTGCAACTATGTCCTGGCCCCTAAGGTACACGTATACTACTTTCAACTTTAAAATCTCCTGTAGTTTCCTAATGCCTTTCATGAAATCCCAAGTCTTAAACCAAGTCTCTTTACCCCTTTGATCTGCTATATCAACACAGTAGAGAAATGTTTGCAAGGGACAGCCAGACACCCACCCATCTGCTCATTCCAGTTTTTTAGCCTGTGTCCAAATGTCTCCCTCCCATTTACCAGCCCTGTGCCTACAGCCCTCAACCCTCTACCAAATTCTCTTCTGCCTAAGGCCAGAAACACGATAAAATCTCCTCATCCCCTCCCACTCCTGGTCTGGAATGGAGTGAGGGTACTAACTTTTTGAAGCATTTGTAATCATGGGGTCAGAATGCCTGCTCCTCTAGGATATCCTAGTGGCTACGAATAGGTGTCAGAAAGACATTTCGCTATTTTGCTTGTGGTTTGACTATAATCATTCTTACGCCTAAAAATACTTTGTGGTAAGAAAATGTGGCAATGCCTTCCTCCCACAGAATACTTTATTTTTCTTTCTCGATCTTCTTCGCTGTACTCAGCCAACTGATTGCTTTTAAAATAAATATCCACTTGGCTCCAGGGTCCATTCTGCACCGTTTCACACTAATCTTAATTCCAGGCATGATTCTGTCACCCTTGGCTCCCAGTAAACCAATCCCAACCCCACGCTCCCAAACTTGCGTCTCGGGAAGTCCCCTCTCCCCTAGCCAGGTCGCCAGCCACGCTGGACAGGAGGCAAGCGCTGGAAGCCCAGGCACAGTGGCCCTTCCCACCCGGCGTTCTGCCAGGAGGCCGCAAGCGCGGAGGCGGGGACGCAGGAATTCGGAACGTAGTTGAAAACGATTCCTCCCCAAGATTCCTAAAAGAGATGGTGCTGGGACCCTAGAGGTGAGGTAGCAGCAGCACGGGGTCGAACACTACGCCTTTAAACTCATTTTGGGAAAGTTGTGAGGGGTCTGGTGCCACGCCCTGGCGGGAACCCCAGGGGATGTGGAGGCTGCCAACCTCTCGGCTCGACCGACGTCCGATCCCTCCCCCGTCACTCACCCCAGAGTTACAACCCACGTCGAGCCCCAGGATCGGCCTTGTCTCTGGACTCTGAGGGAAGAGCCGGCGAAGCAGCTCTGGAGGCAGGAGGCGGAGCCGTTGCTCTGGAGGGTGGAAGCGGGAATAATGAGGGAAATTTCCGAATGGGGCGGCTCCGGGTTCCAGAAGTCGCGGTTCCTCTTCCGCCGCGGTCTCTTCAACGCCCCCGGTGGCTTGCTTCATGGACGCCGCCATTAGTCTCAGTCTGGCCTCGGGGTCGCCTCGGAACCGGAAGTCGGGAACCTGCAGGCTCGGCGAGCGCGGTCCGGGCTCCAGCGCGCCTGCGCTGCATGGCAAAGGCGAGTGACTATAAAGGCGGCCTCCCCTGAGCCAGCGCAGAAGCTTGGGGTTTGCGTTGGCGTGAGGAGCCCACGCCATAACCTGGGAGGTGGTTAGTAATATTATCCCGTTTTCCTGGTGAAACAAGCTCAGAGAGGTTGAGTGACTTGCTCAAGCTGACATAGTTTCAACTTGGGCTACCCAGAACAAGGAGTTTGTTGGGATTTGGAAGTCACTTTTGGTCCACCGTCCTTCCTTTACAAATGCATGTGAGATCCAGAGAGTAGGAATTACTTGTCCAGGGTCACACGCGAATCTGTGACGCTGGAACTTCACCCGGTTCATCCTGTGACGCCAGGAACTATGGGTCCCTCGAGGTGCCAGAAGACCCAGATGGCCCTGCCTACCACGTGGGTCAGGTGGACAGGGGCAACTGTAGAGTGTGAGCTCTTGAGAGGCAAGGACTATGCCTTAAGAGCCAGTGCTTAAGAGTGCTTACCAGGCACTAGACACCATGCTAAGACCTTTACATGTATTTATTTAATTTGCATACCAACCCTGTGAGGAAAGAACAGTAACTAATATCCCTTTTATATAGATGAGGACATCGGGGCACAGCAAAGTTAGTAACTTGCCCAAGGTGTTGCAGTTAGAAATGATAGTACCAGGATTTGACCCAGGCACTTTGGCTCCAGAGGATGTACTTGCAACCATTATGTTATTCTCAGCCTGAATCCCTTATACCTGCCATAATGCCTGACCTAAAGATGCTTAATAAGTACATGCTGAATGAAAACTCAATATCTACAAATGGTATTGGGAAAACTGGTTATTCATATGCAAAAGAATGAAAGTAGACCCTTACAGAAAAATCAACTCAAAATGGATTAAATGTAAGACCTGAAACTGTATATCTGCTAGAAAAAAAACCATAGGGGAAAGGCTTCAAGACTGATCTTGGCAATGATTTCATGGATGTGATGCCAAAAGCACAGACAACAAAAGCAAAAATAGACAAGTGGGACTACATCAAACTAAAAAGCTTCTACACAGCAACAGAAACCACTGACAGTAAAAAGGCAACCTATGGAATGGGTGAAAATATTTGCAAGCCATTTATCTGATAAGGGATTAATTTCCAAAATATGTAAGGAACTCCTACAACTCAAAAGCACAAAAACCAGTAACTTGATTTTTTTTTAATGGGCAAAGGACTTGAATAGACAGTTTTCCAAAGGAAGGTGTACAAATGACCAACAGATATATGAAACGATGTTCAGTGTCACTAATCATCAGGGAAATGCAAATCAAAACCACAATGAGATCTCATCTCACACCTGTTAGGGTGGCTATTATGAAAACAAAAGACAAGAGGTATTGGCAAGGATGTGGAGAAAGTGGAACGCTTGTACGTTGTTGGTGGAAATGTAAAATGGTGCAGCCTCTATGACAAACAGTATGGATGTTCCTCAAAAAATTAAAAATAGAACTACTACATGATCCAGCAATCCCATTTCTGGGTATTTATCCAAAAGAATTGAAATCAGGATCTTGGAGAGATATTAGTGCTCACATGTTCATTGTGACACTGTTCACAATAGTCAACATGTGGAAATGACTTAAATGTCCATCTGCAGATGAATAGATAAAAGAAATGTGGTATATACATAAGTAGAATGTTATTCATCTTAAAAAAGAAGGAAACCCTACCATATGTGGCAAAATGGATGAACCTTGAGGACATTATGCTAAGTGAAATAAGCCAGTTGCAGAAGGACAATTACTGCATGATTCCACTTATATAAGGTATCTAAAATAGTCAAACTCACAGAAGCAAAGACTAGAATGGTAGTTACCAGTGGCTGGGGTGAGGGGAAGGGGGACTTGCTAGTCAACTGGTATAAAGTTTCAGTTATGCAAGATGAATACATTCTAGAGATCTGCTGTACAACATTGTGTCTATAGATAACAGTACTTTACTGTACACTTAAAAACTGGTTAAGGGCTTCCCTGCTGGCACAGTGGTTGAGAGTCCGCCTGCCGATGCAGGGGACACAGGTTCGTGCCCCGGTCCGGGAAGATCCCACATGCCGTGGAGCAGCTGGGCCCGCAACGGGAGAGGCCACAACAGTGAGAGGCCCATGTACCGCAAAAAAAAAAAAAAAAAAAAAAAAAAAAAAAAAAAAAAAAAAAAAAAAAAAAAAACTGGTTAAGAGGGTAGATCTCATGTTAAGTATTCTTGTTGCAATGAAATAAAATTTAAAAAAAACCCCAAACTCCATACAGGATGCAAGTAGGCAACTAAAGCCAGGTCTGATTTGGGAAAACTGAAAAGGAAGAAAGAAGGGAACTGAACTGAAAGAGACCTGGTGGAATGGAACTAGGCAAAATGTGGGCTGAGCCAGAGATAAGAAAAAAAACTGAGCTGGTAAGAAACTGCGCCGAGGTGGCAGGATGGGGCATGGCATTGGCCTAGGTAGCAGGTGCAAGTCAGCAGCCAGGACGGGCCAGAATATCCAGCAGGGTCAGCCAGGGGTCTGCAGAGTTGTGCTGACCTCAGTCCACCTGGCCAGCCATCTTCAAGGGGCCTCCAGCTTCATGAGGCCAGCGATTTGCTGAACTTCTTCCAAGGACTGAAGCATGACTCCTGCAGACATTACCATCAGAAGTTAAAATAGGCCCTGTCCCTTTTCCTCTCAATTTTTACTTCATACTTTCATCTCTGTCTGATCTATCAGATGGAGAGGACATAAGTTAATGACCAAAAGTCACAGTGGGATTGAATTAACCACAATATTCTGCACAACTTCTAGAAAAAGGGGGGCAGGGGAGGGTGGGGGAACAGCAGCACCACCATTTCTCTCCCCAGCGTTTGACAGATTTTGGTGAGCTGAACTTACCCCGTTTTGTCACTAGATGATGCTAGCACAAACACTTGGCAACCCTTAATTTCCAAAGAGCAGGAATCACCTTGCTTTTGTAGGCAGTTTTTTCTTTGCCTGTTTAAACACAGTATATATATATTTGCCAGTAAAGAGTTTAATTTCATCAAGGACATGGGCATGGTTTTTGAGTTCTCAAAACACTGTTCACCCGAAAAGAAATAGGCAACAGTCCTAGGTGGTGAATGGCAGGTTCCTCCTGACCCCGGGAACCTCAAGAAGTAAAGATAGGAGTGGGCCTGGTAATGTTACTGGGGACCTGAAATGCCTTAGAGGTGAGCCCATAAAGAGGCATTAGAGTTTGACTCACTCCGGGGACTTTTTGAACCTGTGCCCATTTTTCAGAGCCTGATCAGCCCAAGTGACCTGACAGTGCTCAGCTGGAGCCTGGGGCCTGAGTAACCAGCCCCAATACCTCAAATAGCTGTAGTAGCACCTAAGAGGATGCTCTGCACTGCAGTTGGCTAGATTTTGTGAAGCCTGATGCTTCTACAATTGTGCGGGTGGGCAGTGCTTTAAAGAAAAAAATTACAAACAAAGATAGGTATGAAAGTGAATATTTACAATGAGAAAATAAATCACAACAAATTACAATTTTTAAAAAGCTGACAAATGCCACAAACATCACAAAAAATCCCATAATTGATGAATCAAATGCCAGTCACATTTGAATATTACTATTTTCTTACATTTTTTGGCTGCATACGCTTTGATTGCTTCTTCACATGGTAATGATTTGAAAATACCATTTTACTAAGAGGACTAGAAAGATGATTCAGTCTTAACAAATTTGTCTTTTTATTATTTGATCATTTAGAAAAGTTTCTTTCAGGTTCACAATTTGCTATTGGCAATGTCATGTAAATGTTTAGGTTTGTTATCAAATTGGGGAAACACCTTGATCAAGTTTCTTTCATCTAGGAGCTATACAATCTCAGAGCATTTCAAATTTTCTTGTGCAGGGACTGTGCTCTTCAAATTGACTCGTTTACTAGCCAATTTGTCTTTGAAAACCTCATTATAAATGGTGAATTATGAGTTTTTTATTATTTGCATTGATATCAGTAATTTGTGTCAAGTCATCAAAAGGTGTAAAGATAGGAGTTTTGATCATTTGTATTTTGAACAGTTCTTATCAAAAGAGAAAAGAATGCATATATAATGATATTTGCTGTGTTATTGAGTATATTGCTGACACAACAAAACTTGTTTTGACTGGATGTCAATAAGGACAGGATCCTCTGCTTATATTTTTGTACAGCTGACAAGTGGAAGAGTTTTCTTCAGACTAGCTTCTGGCCTCATACATTTCTTTTCTTTTTTTTTTTTAAAGAAAATGTGTTTATTTTTTCAATATATATTCTTTTTTTAAAATTAATTTTTACTGGAGTATAGTTGATTTACAACGTTAGTTTCAGGTGTACAGCAAAGTGAATCAGTTATACAAATACATATATCCACTCTTTTTAGAGTCTATTCCCATATAGGTCATTACAGAGTACTGGGTAGAGTTCCCTGTGCTATACAGTAGGTTCTTATTAGTTATCCATTATATATATAGTAGTGTGTATATGTTAATCCCAATCTCCCAATTTATCCCTCCCCCCCCCCCGCCTTTCCCTCTTGGTAACCATAAATTTGTTTGTTTTCTACACCTGTGACTCTATTTCTGTTTTGTTTAGGTTCATTTGTACCATTTTTGTAGATTCCACGTATAAGCGATATATGATATTTGCCTTTCTCTGTCTGACTTCGGCTTCATATATTTTCAAAACTTGATTTTCTTCTACTCCCACACACTTCTGGTGCCAGGTGCAGAAGGACACATTTAGACCTTGATTTGAACTCTGGCCTTGCACCTTCAGGTCACAACTTCAGGTGAGTCAGCTCGGTGGGCAGATAAGAGATTCCTGGAGCTAGCCCTTCATCTGGGCGTCAGGTAATAGCTGTAATAGGTCAACTATGCATGGAAGTAACTGTAAACCATGTGAATAGATCCCAAACAGAGCGTATCCCCAAGTAAACTTCCCCTTAGCTGGATTCCAAGAATGCCTGTGGCCATTCCAGTGCCATCTAACACAAGGGGAAATGTGAAGGAGGGTAAGTCAAAGTGGAAACAGCAGTCTTTTTTTTTTTTTTTTTTCCCGGTACGCGGGCCTCTCACTGTTGTGGCTTCTCCCGTTGCGGAGCACAGGCTCCGGACGCGCAGGCTCAGCGGCCATGGCTCACGGGCCCAGCTGCTCCGCGGCACGTGGGATCT